ACACGTCAAGTTTATTTGAAAATTCTAAAGAAAAAGAACACACAAACACACAATGCCTCAGTGATTAACAGAACTGTTTCACAGATCACAGAACTATATCAGGGTGTCATTTCTCAGGCAGAAATGTAGATAAAAATAATGAAATCCTGTTCCCCAAACAAGTGCAAGAACCACAGAGTCAAGAATAGGTTAAATATACAAATAAAATAAATTAAAAACAATAGCACATCAACATAAAAACATATAAACATAAAGCTGGAGCCTGAGGACAGTGTCCAAAAGCACAACATCACTATTAATCATAAAACACCTCAAGTTACTTGAAAGTTCTGAGGACAAAGAACACACAAACACACAATGCCTCAGTGATTCACAGAAGTATATCACAGATCACAGAACTATATCAGGGTGTCATTTCTCAGGCAGAAATGTAGATAAAAATAATGAAATCCTGTTCCCCAAACAAGTGCAAGAACCACAGAGTCAAGAATAGGTTAAATATACAAATCAAATCAAATCAATTAAAAACAATAGCACATCAACATAAAAACATATAAACATAAATCTGAAAGCGTTGCTCAAACTCCCGTAACAGTCCAGTTATTTTATCTTTGAACCGCTTCATGTCTGCCACATGTTGGGTCGCGCACACATTTTTCAGACAGGGGAAGTGAGCTGCATCACCACCGGCAAGTTGCGTCTCCCACAATGACAGCTTCAACTTGAAAGAACGTATGCTGTCATAATACTGCGTGACAACTTTGTTGCGCCCTTGCAGCTGTTTGTTCAAGTTATTCAGGTGCTCTGTAACATCCACCATAAATGCAAGGTCCGGCATCCATTCTGCAGAATGAAATTCTAACACTGGTTTGCCCTTTTCTTCCATGAACTGTTCAATTTCTTCTCGTAAATCAAAGAAACGCCTCAGCACAGCACCTCGGCTTAACCATCTTACCTCAGTGTGGTATGGCAGGCCATAGATGTGGTCTTTCTCTCTGAGAAGGCTGTCAAACTGACGGTGATTCAGGCTTCTGGATCGGATGAAATTAACAGTTTGGATGACCACCTTCATGACGTTATCCATCTTTAATGACTTGCAACACAAAGCCTCCTGGTGCAAAATACAGTGAAAAGTCAAAAAATCACGTCCTCCATTTGCAGATTGCACTTTCTCTCTGAACTTTGTCACAACGCCTGCTTTTTTCCCGATCATTGAGGGCGCACCATCTGTAGCCAGGCTGACAGTGCGGGACCAGTCCACTCCGACCCTGTCCAGCGCGCCGACGAGTGCGGTAAATATATCAGCTGCTGTCGTTGTATCTGTCATCGGCACCAACTCCACAAACTCCTCGGTGACGGTCAATGTGTCATCAACTCCGCGGATGAAAAAATGGCCAGTTGTGCAACATCTGTAATGTCCGTGGTTTCATCAATTGCAACCGAAAACGCAATAAATGACTTTACTTTTTGCTTCAACTGGCTGTCCAAATCCACTGAAAGATCGGAAATCCTGTCTGCAACTGTGTTTCTTGTCAGGCTGATATTTGCAAAAGCCTGCCGCTTTTCAGGGCACACAATCTCCGCTGCCTTCATCATGCATGTTTTTACAAATTCACCCTCACTAAATGGTTTTGAAGCCACTGCGATTTCATTAGCAATGAGGTAGCTAGCTTTCACTGCAGCGTCACTGATGTCTCGGCTGTGAGTAAACACAGACTGCTGTTTCTTCAGACCCGCCAACAGTTCATTCACCTTCTCTCATCTCCGCTGTCCTTGAAAGTTGTCATATTTGTCGGCATGAAGACTCACATAGTGGCGACGAAGGTTATATTCTTTCAGCACTGCAACATGCTCTGAACACACCAAACATACAGCTTTCCCATTCAATTCCGTGATTAAATAGGATGACCATTTTTCTTGGAACACTCTACACTCTGCGTCCACTTTTCTCTTTTTTGACAGAGACATATTGGGGCAATGAGGGTGCCAAAGCACATAATGTTAAAAGTAGAAGCCGTAATAAATATCGCGGGCAAAACAAAGTAGCTCATTGGCTGCACGTGCTTGACCTACTTGCTCTGCCCCGGTATAAACAGTTTGCTTGCTTAACACAATTGCTATTGCGCCATCCAGTGGACGCAATTGGAACAGCAGTTTATTTTATTGAAAAAAAAAATTGCAGCGCATTTTTATACTTAAAAAACGGGCCGGAGATGATTTAAAAAAAAAAAGAAAAAAAAAATGTTTTTTAAGTATAAAAATGCGCTGCAATTTTTCAATAAAATAAACTGCTGTTCCAATTGCGTCCATTGGATGGCGCAATAGCAATTGTGTTAAGCAAGCAAACTGTTTATACCGGGGCAGAGCAAGTAGGTCAAGCACGTGCAGCCAATGAGCTACTTTGTTTTGCCCGCGATATTTATTACGGCTGACACCCCTGTTCTAGACCTATCCGCTGCCTTTGATACTGTGAACCATCAGATCCTCCTCTCCACCCTCTCGGAGTTGGGCATCTCCAGCGCTGCTCACTCTTGGATTGCGTCCTACCTGACAGGTCGCTCCTCATTAGCTGGGAATGTTGTTTGAAATGTCTGATACAACATACTTTATTGATATTGTTATCAACATACTGCATACAATATATATTTTAGTGTACAGGGTGTTCTATTAGCGTGCTAACACTCATTAAGACAGGTAGAATAGCTAGCATAGCTAGCCATCACTAGCATTCACTGGTTAAAGTTGAAGTAGCTTTTGAGTGTAATGGAGTTGACTGATGACTATGGCATGAATATATCGAGAGTTTGGGACTATAAGGTTCTATCTGCAATTTTGTCAAAATGTTGTTATGGACATAGCCTTGTTCAGTTCAATGTTCTCTATGTATATAGTACTAGAAATAGTTTAAAAGAATACAATATAGAAATTGCTTACACCATTCAAACCAATGAGGGTTCAGAACTTTAAAGCCAATTATCTCAGGATCATCTTTTTGAAGATATAACCTTATAATCAGCTCTCGATATATAATTCATGACATTTGGACGGGAGCTATCCAGTTATAACAAATGTAGTTTCTATATGCGTGTCATTATTGCTTGAAATCAGGCATAGCTGCACTGCTTTCAATGCTGAAAGATTGCTTCTGTACCCCGCTCGTCCCAGCTTGTGTGAATTTCGGGGAAAATGTAACTTTGCCATCTGGACCTATTGCTGTAGCCTACAGTGCATTCGGAAAATATTCAGACCCCTTGACTTTTTCCACATTTTGTTGCGTTACAGCCTTATTCTAAAATGGTAAAAAAAAAAATAATCCTCTTCAATCTACACACAATAACCCATAATGACAAAGCAAAAACAAGTTTTTAGACATTTTTGCAACTTTATTACAAATAAAAACAGAAATACATTATTTACATAAGTATTCAGACCCTTTGTTATGAGACTCGAAATTGAGCTCAGGTGCATCCTGATCCCATTGATCATCCTTGAGATGTTTCTACAACTTGATTGGAGTCCACCTGTGGTAAATTCAATTGATTGGACATGATTTGGAAAGGCACAAACCTGTCTATATAAGGTCCCACAGTTGACAGTGCATGTCAGAGGAAAAACCAAGCCATGAGGTCGAAGGAATTGTCCTTAGAGCTCTAAGACAGTATTGTGTCGAGGCAGAGATCTGGGGAAGGGTACCAAAACATTTCTGCAGCATTGAAGGTCCCCAAGAACACAGTGCCCTCCATCATTCTTAAATGGAAGAAGATTGGAACCACCAAGACTCTTCCTAGAGCTGGCCGCCCGGCCAAACTGAGCAATCGGAGAAGAAGGGCTTTGGTCAAGGAGGTGACCAAGAAACCGGTGGCCACTCTGACAGAGCTCCAGAGTTCCTCTGTGGAGATGGGAGACAGGGGCACGACAGCTCGCTTGGAGTTTGCCAAAAGGCACCTAAAGGAATCTCAGACCATGAGAAACAAGATTCTCTGGTCTGATGAAACCAAGATTGAACTCTTTGGCCTGAATGCCAAGCGTCACGTCTGGAGGAAACCTGGCACCATACCTACGGTGAAGCATGGTGGTGACAGCATCATGCTGTGAAGATGTTTTTCAGTGGCAGGGATTGGGAGACTAGTCAGGATCTAGGGAAAGATTAACGGAGCAAAGTACAGAGAGATCCTTGATGAAAACCTGCTCCAGAGCACTCAGGACCTCAGACTGGGGTGAAGGTTCACCTTCCAACAGGAGAACAACCCTAAGCACATAGCCAAGACAACGCAGGAGTGGCTTCGGGACAAGTCTTTGAATGTCCTTGAGTGGCCCAGCCAGAGCCCGGACTTGAACACGATCGAACATCTCTGGAGAGACCTGAAAATAACTGTGCAGCGATGCTCCCCATCAACCTGACAGAGCTTGAGAGGATCTGCAGAGAAGAATGGGAGAAACTCCCCAAACACAAGTGTGCCAAGCTTGTAGTGTCATACCCAAGAAGACTCAAGGCTGTAATCGCTGCCAAAGGTGCTTTAACAAAGTACTGAGTAAATGGTCTGAATACTTATGTAAATGTGATATTTCAGTATTTTTTTTAAATACATTTGCAAAAATTTATAAAAACCTGTTTTTGCTCTGTTATTATGGGGTATTGTGTGTAGATTGATGAAAAAATGAATCAATTTTAGAATAAGGCTGTAACGTAACAAATTGTGGAAAAGGGGGTATGAATACTTAATAATCTCTGCGTTTTCCAAAGGATGCGACATGGCATGAAATTGTGCAGGTTGACGTTTATTGTCATGAATCTTGCCCTGGAGGCAGAACTCTGGGATTTCCGCTAGATGGGCCAGCTGCAAAGTCAAAATTGACTATATTGTAAAAATGTATGAAAACAAAAATTTGCTTTTTGGTCTTAATTTAAGGTTAGGCATTAGTGTTAGCGGTGTGGTATGATTTTGTAGCTGTGCCATCTAGTGCGCTGCAGAGCTGCCTCCAGAACAAAATTCGTGACGAAAAACACTAACCTGTAGCCTACTTCTCCACACCGACTCCTATCAGACCTCTGCTAATAGCAGAGTCCTTCCTAGCTCTTCAGTGAAGATGGCGCAGGCACTATCAGAGGAGGAGTTCCATCGAATGCAGGTAGGCTGACAGCTGTCCATTTTCAATGCCAGTTGTTTCAAATATGCTGCAATCTTCAGAGTATTTCCTGAAAATTGGATTGGCCATCAATCTGTCCAGCGCTAAACTACTGAATGGAAAAAGCATCACAACCTAGCGAGCTAGCTTCGCCTAGCTAGGCCAAAAGCAACACTCCAACCAAGGGATGTGGCTAACTAGCTAGCTGCTAGCTAAATAGTTAATGTCAGCAGTCATTGCTCTTCGAATCCAATAACAGGTAGTTAACATATTTGATCATTTGGCGATGTCATTTTAGTATTCAATACAAACATATGGACATTTGGTGATCCTAATAGTTGGCTTCATGTTCTAGCTAATAACATCAACTAACTGGTTTGCGAGTTAGCTAGCTAAAATGGCTAGCTAGCTAGCTTGAAATGACAATGGTCTTCGTTTATCTTAATAACAATGAATCTGTTATGGTATTCATGTTAGCTAGTGGTTTCAAATGGCTGTGTCTTATAGTTGTTTGCTGGGTCACGGGTTTGGTCAGCTAACGTTAGCCTAGTGTTAGCTTTCAGCCTGTAGGGACTGGACACCAGTCACTTATTATGTTTGTGTTCAGCTTTCCAAACCAGATATTGTAGACATAGCTAGATACTCTCATAGATAATGCATTGATTGTTAATCTAAATTCACCGGAATCAGATTCTGTGCACAACAACTTTACTGTTGCTTGTGTAGTAGGCCATCCTCATTTATTAAGGGGTCATCAACACACCAAGCTAACATCCAAAGCATTCAAAGTAATGTACAACCAGATGTGTTATATTACGTTTTAAGTTGAACCTCGATACTGGCTTTGGTACAAGTCATCCACTCCTCCTATAACCATTTGTTGTTCTCCATCTCCAGGCTCATCTTTTAGAGCTGAGGACACAGAACTACCAACTTTCTGATGACCTGCGGAAGAACACAGCTGGTAAGCAGCAGCTAATAATATAAAGGCGTTAACCCAATTGGTGCCCGTGAACAGGGATCCATTTTTATTGCTGAAATGAAATGAGCATTGCAATGCAACTCCAGGATGGGTTTCAGATGTACACTACCGTTCAAAAGTTTTCGAACACCTACTCATGCAAGGGTTTTTCTTAATTTTTACTATTTTCTACATTGTACAATACTAGTGAAGACATCAAAACTATGAAATAACACATGGAATCATGTAGTAACCAAAAAAGTGTTAAACAAATCAAACATTTTTATATTTGAGATTCTTCAAATAGCCATCCTTTGCCTTGATGACAGCTTTGCACACTCTTGGCATTCTCTCAACCAGCTTCATGAGGTAGTCACCTGGAACGCATTTCAATTAACAGGTTTGCCTTCTTAAAAGTAATTTTGTGGAATTTCTTTCCTTCTTATTGCGTTTGAGCCAATCAGTTGTGTTGTGACAAGGTGGGGGGGGGGGGGGGGGGGGGTATACAGAAGACAGCCCTATTTGGTAAAAGACCAAGTCCATATTATGGCAAGAACAGCTCAAATAAGCAAAGAGAAACGACAGTCTATCATTACTTTACGACATGAAGGACAGTCAATCTGGAAAATTAAGAACTTTTAAAAGTTTCTTAAAGTGCAGTTGCAAAAAACATCAAGCACTATGATGAAACTGGCTCTCATGAGGACCGCCACAGGAATGGAAGACCCAGAGTTACCTCTGCTGCAGAGGATAAGGTCATTAGAGTTACCAGCCTCAGAAATTGCAGCCCAAATAAATGCTTCACAGAGTTCAAGAAACAGACACATCTCAACATCAACTGTTCAGAGGAGACTGTGTGAATCAGGCCTTCATGGTTGAATTGCTGCAAAGAAACCACTACTTAAGGACACCAATAAGAAGAAGAGACTTGCTTGGACCAAGAAACACGAGCAATGAACATTAGACTGGTGGAAATGTGTCCTTTGGTCTGGAGTCCAAATTTGAGGTTTTTGGGTCCAACCACCGTGTCTTTGTGAGACGCGGTGTGGGTGAACGGATGATCTCCGCATGTGTATTTCCCACCGTAAAGCATGGAGGAGGAGGTGTTATGGTGTGGGGGTGCTTTGCTGGTGACACTGTCAGTGATTTATTTAGAATTCAAGGCAACCTTAACCTGCATGGCTACCACAGCATTCTGCTGCGATACGCCATCCCATCTGGTTTGGGCTTAGTGGGACTATCATTTGTTTTTCAACAGGACAATGACCCAACACACCTCCAGGCTGTGTAAGGGCTATTGTACCAAGAAGGAGAGTGATGGAGTGCTGCATCAGATGACCTGGCCTCCACAATCCCCTGACCTCAACCCAATTGAGATGGTTTGGGATGAGTCGGACCGCAGAGTGAAGGAAAAGCAGCCAACAAGTGCTCATCATATGTGGGAACTCTTTCAAGACTGTTGGAAAAGCATTCCAGGTGAAGCTGGTTGAGAGAATGCCAAGAGTGTGCAAAGCTGTCATCAAGGCAAAGGGTGGCTATTTGAAGAATCTCAAATATAAAATATATTTTGATTTAACACTTTTGGTTACTACATGATTCCCTATGTGTTATTTCATAGTTTTGATGTCTTCACTATTATTCTACAATGTAGAAAATAGTAAAAATAAATAAAAACCGTTGAATGAGTAGGTGTTCTAAAACTTTTGACCGGTAGTGTAGTATCCCTCCTAAAGCAAAGTGTGTGTGTTATGGTGTGATGCATTGTTTCCAACTTCAAAATGAGTTAGTTCTGACTCCAAGTGATTGAAAAGAAAATACTAGTGTCTGGTGATAAAGATTTGTGGTTCTTTCTATTCCAGAGCTAATGGCTGTTCGTCAGAAGACTCTGACCTTGGAGAAGGATTACATCAAAGCACAGAAGGTATTGCAAGCTAATCTACATTTGATTAAACAAACTGATAATAGGGTTGTGGATTTCAATGCACTGAAACTAAAGGCATCATCATGTTTGAGAAATAATAAAACGTAACTTTGTTTGGGATTTGACTTTGTTTCTAATTATGCAGGCTTTGAATAAGAGCAAGAAAGCTCAGGTGAGTTCCTTGTCATATTTCTGCTAATCTTCTCAAACTCTTTCAAAGCAGTCTATAAAATGATCTTGAAAAGATACAGTATGAACATTATTTTGTCATACATGTTATATACACTACCAGTCAAAAGTTTGGACACAACTACTCATTCAAGAGTTTTTCTTTATTTATACAATTTTCTACATTGTAGAATAATAGTGAAGACATCAAAAATATGAAATAACACATATGGAATCATGTAGTAACCAAAAAAGTGTTAAATCTATCAAAATATGTTATATTTGAGATTCTTCAAATAGCCACCCTTTGCCTTGATGACAGCTCTGCACACTCTTGGCATTCTCTCAACCAACTTCATGAGGTAGTCACCTGGAATGCATTTCAATTAACAGGTGTGCCTTCTTAAAAGTGAAAAAGTTAATTTGTGGAATTTCTTTCCTCCTTAATGCGTTTGAGCCAATCAGTTGTGTTGTGACAACACACCATATGCTCAGCATATGTGGGAACTCCTTCAAGACTATTGGAAAAGCATTCCAGGTGAAGCTGATTGAGAGAATGCCAAGAGTGTGCAAAGCTATCATCAAGGCAAAGGGTGGCTATTTGAAGAATCTCAAATATAAAACATTTGTATTTGTTTAACACTGTTTTGGTTACTACATGATTCCATATGTGTTATTTCATAGTTTTGATGTCTTTACTATTATTCTACAACGTAAAAAACTGTAAAAATAAACAAACACCCTTGAATGAGTAGGTGTGTCCAAACTTTTGACTGGTACTGTATGTACAGTAGAAGTTGGAAGTTTACATACACTTAGGTTGGAGTCATTAAAACTCGTTTTTCAACCACGCCACATTTCTTGTTAACAAACTATAGTCTTGGCAAGTCGGTTAGGACATCTACTTTGTGCATGACACAAGTAATTTTCCCAACAATTGTTTACAGACAGATTATTTCACTTATAATTCACTGTATCACAATTCCAGTGGGTCAGAAGTTTACATACACGAAGTTGACTGCCTTTAAACAGCTTGGAAAATTCCAGAAAATGATGTCATGGCTTTAGAAGCTTCTGATAGGCTAATTGACATCATTTGAGTCAATTGGAGTTGTACCTAGATTTATTTCAAGGCCTACCTTCAAACTCAGTGCCTCTTTGTTGACATCATGGGATAATAAAAAAAAATCAGCCAAGACTTCAGAAAAATAATTTTAGACCTCCAGAAGTCTAGTTCATCCTACGCCTGAAGGTTCCACGTTCATCTGTACAAACAATAGTACGCAAGTATAAACACCATGGGACCACGCAGCCGTCATACCGCTCAGGAAGGAGACACGTTCTGTCTCCTAGAGATGAACGTGCTTTGGTGCAAAAAGTGCAAATCAATCCCAGAACAACAGCAAAGGACCTTGTGAAGATGCTGGAGGAAACTATATCCACAGTAAAACGAGTCCTATATTGATATAACCTGAAAGGCCGCTCAACAAGGAAGAAGCCACTGCTCCAAAACCGCCATAAAAAAGCCAGACTACGGTTTGCAACTGCACATGGGGACTAAGATTGTACTTTTTGGAGAAATGTCCTCTGGTCTGATGAAACAAAAATAGAACTGGCCATAATGACCATCGTTATGTTTGGAGGAAAAAGGGGGATGCTTGCAAGCCGAAGAACACCATCCCAACCGTGAAGCACGGGGGTGGCAGCATCATGCTGTGGGGGTGCTTTGCTGCAGGAGGGACTGGTGCACTTCACAAAATAGATGGCATCATGAGGACGGAAAATTATGTGGATATATTGAAGCAGCATCTCAAGAACATCTCAAGACATCAATCAGGAAGTTAAAGCTTGGTCGCAAATGGGTCTTCCAAATGGACAATGACCCCAAGCATACTTCCAAAGTTGTGGCAAAATGGCTTAAGGACAACAAAGTCAAGGTATTGGAGTGGCAATCACAAAGCCCTGACCTCAATCCTATAGAAAAGTTTGTGGGCAGAACTGAAAAAGCGTGTTCGAGCAAGGAGGCCTATAAACCTGACTCAGTTACACCAGCTCTGTCAGGAGGAATGGGCCAAAATTCACCCAACTTATTGTGGGAAGCTTGTGGAATGCTACCCGAAACGTTTGACCCAAGTTAAACAATTTAAAGGCAATGCTACCAAATACTAATTGAGTGTATGTAAACTTCTGACCCACTGGGAATTTGATGAAAATAAATAAAAGCTGAAATAATTCATTCTCTACTATTATTCTGACATTTCAGATTCTTAAAATAAAGTGGTGATCCTAACTGACCTAAGACAGGGAATTTTTACTAGGATTAAATGTCAGGAATTGTGAAAAACTGAGTTGGAAATGTATTTGTTTAAGGTGTATGTAAACTTCCGACTTCAACTGTATATGCCATAATGGATTGAGGAACTTCCTCAATGAAGACAAGGTGATTTTATGGCCAAGCATAGGTAAAGAAAGGAGGAACACTGCTGTAAATTCATTTTATACATTTACTCATTAGGATCACTAATTTTATATTGTCCTGATTTATGAATTAATGCAGTGAACTGCGCCATCTGCTGTTTCAATATGCATATTCCATCTTTCCCTAGAGTATTTTAGATCATTTGACAAAAAACTTGATTTGTTGAAACAGACGTTTGAGATGGAAGTATAGCGAAGTCCTCTCAAATTTTAAGTTTTTGATTAATTTCACCATCCTGTCTCACCAGCAAACAATATTTTTCATGTTTTTTTTGTGAGCGTATTCAAACTAGAGTCCTTAGCCTGTGTTTTTTCTCATTGGTTTGTTATTCAGTGGATATTCTCAAATATTGTATAACCTTTTTATTGTGCTAGTTAGAAATGCGTTCAGTTCAACAGATCAAATATATCAGGTAGGGTTTTTCTATTAAAGTGCCATAAACCCCAAGGTGAGGAGAGTGTGTAATTTCTGTTCACATGGGTTGATTTACTGTCTGTCTGGTGTGTGTGCTCAGGAGGTGGATGCCTTACTCAGCGAGAATGAGATGCTGCAAGGGAAACTGCACAGCCAGGAGGATGACTTCAGACTGCAAAACAGCACCCTGATGCAGGAGCTGTCCAAGGTACTATATCTCCTCTGCTCCCACACATGCCACTGGTGAGGGGTTGTGGTTATGAGTAGTTGCGCCTCGTTACAGCAGAGGGGAATGTTCTTGTAAATGAAGATGTGATATATGTCTAGCTTATGGAACATAAAAGCCCCACCTTCCTGATCCCGTTTCATGATTAAATTACAGAAATATTTATTTATTGCATTCCCTTGTTTTGTGTTTTTAGTTATGTACTCAGATAGAGGAGTTAGAACAGGAAAACAAACACCTAAAGGATGGAAAAGTGTTTCAGGCTGAATCCTCCAGTCCCACCTCCAGCTCTGTGGATGGAGAGCTACTGCGTCTCCAGGCAGAAAACGCTGCCCTTCAGAAAAAGATGACGGGTATGTTTATGTTGGTTATCATTGTAGAAATTCCACTTTTTCAAATACAGTTCTTTGATAAGATGTATCTAAGTAATGGCAACACATCATCAGTTCCGGCTTCTATTTCCATCCCTGTGTTCTTCCCTCAGCCCTTCAGGAGCGTTCTGAGAGTGCGATAAAGAGCCAGAGGGGAGTGGAGGTCAGTGACACCAACGCCTCAGAGATGGATGGGCCGGCTGACGCTAATGGTGTCCAGTTGCACTCTGACGTCAGTGAGAACATGGAGGATGCTGCCTCTGGAACCAATGACAGACTGGAACAGGTGACAAAAAAAAACCACTTGCACTGACAACAACAGAATAACACTAGCGCTTTTCTTTTGCTACTAGCACTGACTTTGCTGATAACTACTTTGAGGACAAATGTACTTACTATGACTGTGATATGTGGTTGTTTCACCTAGCTATCTTAAGATGAATGCACTAACTACGTCGCTCTGGATAAGAGCGTCTGCTAAATTACTAAAATGTGAATGTCAAATGTGACACCATGAACAAGTACTTTCTATGGAACTGCAATTTGACAATATCCTAAAGTTCAAGTTTTATTGTCACATGCACAAGTACAGTGAAATGCTTAACTTGCAAGCTCTACCCAACAGTGCAGTAATCAATATCAAAAGACGAACTAATGATAATAAAAAATGATTTATATAAATGTCTCAAGTTTTGAGGGAGTGTGCAATTGCCTTGCTGACTGCAGACAAATCCACCAGAGCTGTTGCCAGAGAATTGAATGTTAATTTCTCTACCATAAGCAGCCTCAACGTCATTTTTGAGAATTTGGCATTAAGTCCAACTGGCCTCACAACCGCAGACCACGTGTATGGCGTTGTGTGGGTGAGCGGTTTGCTGATGTGAACAGAGTGCCCCATGGTGGCGGTGTGGTTATGGTATGGGTAGGCATAAGCTACAGACAACTAACACAATTGCATTTTATCGATGACCATTTGAATGCACAAAGATACCGTGACATTTGCTAATCAATTGGCTACCCGGACTATTTGCATTGTCCCCCCCAGTCACTTTAACTATACCTACATGTATCAATTACCTTGACTAACCGGTGCCCCCGCACATTGACTCTGTACTGGTACCCCCTGTATATAGCCTCGCTACTGTTATTTTTACTGTTATTTTACTGCTTTTATTTTTTACTTAGGTATTGTTTACTTAACACTTGTTTTTCTTAACTGCATTGTTGGTTAAGGGCTTGTAAGTAACCATTTCACTGTAAGGTCTACACCTGTTGTATTTGGCGTATGTGACAAATAGGATTTGATTTGAAGATCCTGAGGCCCATTGTGAGCCCCATTTATTTTGTTTTTACGGCATCTGTGACCAACAGATGCATATCTGTATTCCTAGTCGTGAAATCCATAGATTAGGGCCTAATTAATTAATTTAAATTGACTGATTTTCTCATATGAACTGTAACTCAGTAAAATCAATGAAGTTGTTTATATTTTTGTTCAGTATATAATGCATTCGGAAAGTATTCAGACCCCTTGACTTTTTCCACATTGTTACATTACAGCCTTATTCTAAAATTGATTAAATCGTTTTTTCCCTCTTCAGTCTACACACAATACCCCATAATGACAAAGCAAAAACGGGTTTATTTAATTTTTTGCACATTTATAAAAAGAACACAACGGAAATATCATATTTACATAAGTATTCAGACCCTTTACTCAGTACTTTGTTGAAGCACCTTTGGCAGCGATTACAGCCTTGAGTCTTCTTGGGTATGACACTACAAGCTTGGCACACTTGTATTTGGGGAGTTTCTCACCTTCTTCTCTACAGATCTTCTCAAGCTCTGTCAGGTTGGATGGGGAGTGTTGTTGCACAGCTATTTTCAGGTCTCTCCAGAGATGTTCGATCGGGTTCAAATCCGGGCTCTGGACATTCAGAGACTTGTCCCGATGCAACTCCTGCATTGTCTTGGCTGTGTGCTTAGGGTCGTTGTCCTGTTGGAAGGTGAACCTCCGCCCCAGTCTGAGGTCCTGAGTGCTCTGGAGCAGGTTTTCATCAAGGATCTCTCTGTACTTTGCTCCGTTCATCTTTTCTCGATCCTGACTAGTCTCCCGGTCCCTGCCGCTGAAAAACATCCCCACAACATGATGTTGCCACCACCATGCTTCACTGTAGGGATGGGGAGGTTTCTTCCAGACGTGACACATGGCATTCAGGCCAAAGAGTTCAATCTTGGTTCCATCAGACCAGAGAATCTTGTTTCTCATGGTCTGAGAATCCTTTAGGTGCCTTTTGTCAAACTCCAAACGGGCTGTCATGTGCCTTTTTACTGAAGAGTGGCTTCCGTCTGGCCACTCTACCATAAAGGCCTGATTGGTGGAGTGCTGCAGAGATGGTTGTCCATCTGGAAGGTTCTCCCATATCTACAGAGGAACTCTGGAGCTCTGTCAGAGTGACCATCGGGTTCTTGGTCACCTCACTGACCAATGCCTTCTCCCCCGAGTGCTCAGTTTGCCGGGCGGCCAGCTCTAGGAAGTTTGTTGTCTTGGTAGTTCCAAGCTTCTTCTATGCCAAGAAGAGGGTAACAGAAGGTATATAAGGTAGAGTGTTTCCTTTGTTCAAGTTAGTTCGTAACACCAAGGGCAAAGCTCTGGTCATTGTTGTAACGAACCCGGTACCGATCATTAAACATTTGCATTAACTTTCTACAAAGTGTCTAACTATATTATTGCATCCTTGATTACTTGAACACCCGAGAAACTCATCATAATACTTATGTAAATAAGGTATTTCTGTTTTTTTGTTTTTAATAAATTTGCAAGAATGTCTAAACCTGTTCACTTTGTCATTATGGGGTATTGTGTGTAGCGTGATGAGGAAAAACTGTAATCCATTTTAGAGTAAAGGCTGTAACGTAACAAAATGTGGAAAAAGTAAAGGGGTCTGAATACTTTCCAAATGCACTGTACATGGAAACAGGAGTAATGGTTACCAGTAGAAGGATAAATGCTAATGTTAATGGCAATCAATGATCAATGAACGTCAGCATAGTGGTAATAATAACTCTAAATAAATCTTAGATGCACTTTCACTGTTTCAGTCATACATTAATTTATACTTATGTTGCTGCTGTTCATTATTGAGCTGGATGCTCTGTTCAACATACAAAAGGCTCTGTTTATTCTGCCCATTATGATGTACCTGTATGTTTCTACTTCATATTAAACGGTTACAGTATGGTACACCAACTGGGATATTACAACAGACATGAATCAGCCCCTATTTAGATTTTGAATTACGCATGGGGTATGGCGTTGTGTTGAGTTGTCCTTAAATTCATATTTATTTTTTTTCCCAGGCAGAGGCAAAGTGTGCCAAACTGGAACAGCGAGTGAATGAGCTTATCGGTGAGTTGAGTCTTTCTTATGGAGAATATATCTTCAGAAATAGTCGGGAAAGCTCAGTACAACAGTCATTAATCTCAGTGTAAACTTTCCCACTTGGTTGTGCTACTTTACAAGAGTGATTTGACTTAATTGAAGTCTTTGTTAACAATGTTGATTTCCAGCACCCAATGTTGCTTAAATAATTGAACTGCTGGTATCCTTCCAATCTGATAGGACATAGTCCAGTTCACAGTTCCTCAATGCAGGCTCTGTGTGGCATGGGTCCAGCAGGTGTCTAGTTTTTCTTAACAGAATGTCAGACTAGTCCGGTCAGGAGCATGTGACTGAAGCCGGTGAGTGGGGTACTGTAATTGTAGATGCTAAGTGGGATCCTTGGGACGACCCTAGCTTAAACCCTAAACCTAACCTTAACCCCTACCATAACCCTTACCTAACCCTTACCATAACCGTTAATTTCAACTTCAATCGGGTGGCGTCAGAGTTTGATGTCCCAAAGATCCCTCTTAGCATTTACCGTACTGTAATTAAGACTAAGATGGTCTACCTGCATGCCCTGCAGGACCTGCAGTGAGGAGCACTGGTCTAGTTATGAAACAGGATGCTCTTAGGTGGTCAGCACTGTGTCCAAATCCAATAACGCAATGCTTTGGGCCAGAGGTGGAACTGCAGCTGCACACTGAGGTGGAGGAGAAGCGCCTACTGAAGGAGCAGCTCCAAGCACTAGAGGTAACGACCCATCTCACAACCTTAGGCTAGATGCCAACATCCCAGGGTGAGAGAAATGGCCAATCTTAGATTTATTTATTTATTTTCTAAGTGGTAATTGCACTCTAGGTTAAGAAGAGTTAATACGTTCTATTTAGTTCTCATGTTACCTGCCCCAGTGCCTCAAAGTGAAGCAATAAGCTACCTCCATTTACTATGCTAATTGAGGGCATATTGGTATGTATAAATATGATGAGCTGTGGACAGACTTTCTCTAAGGCACATTAAAGGACAACAGTTGGTTGGCTATTTCCAAGTCTTCATTTAAGTACTTAGATCTTTCTCTTCTCTCCTCCAGTCATCCAAACAGACAGACATCACTAAACTCCAAGAAGAGATAGCGAAGGTAACTATAAGATCAGATGTGTTCATCATTGTATAGATTAGGCTGTAGTGTATGTTAGCATCTAGGCCCCAACATGTAATCTAACACTGATTTTGTCGATATGTGCCATAGCTCTCTGAAAAATTGAAGAAAAAGCAAGACAGGTAAGATTCTATTTAGCTTGCTAATGTTGTTATGAATGCATTTCTTTGGTTCTACATAAAGTAAACCTTAAAGCCAGACTCAGTAAGTTTCAGTAATGTCGTTTATGAATTCTCAAACTGTCGGGCAAGATGTCATAATGTGCTCTACCTGATAGTTCCCAAGCGGCCACTGGGCCAGCCACCCTTTGATCAGACAGCTGCTAGTATTCTCATTTGCTTGTAGCCTATATAACAAGCTGGGCTACTGTATTAAAATGACAATTTATAAGTCGAGTCAACTATGAACGTTACAGCAGTAAAATTGTATTCTAATGTACTTGGACAACAATAATAGGCTACTGCGGTGCAATGTTAGCACCGTTTTCTGCTTGATCCCTTGCAGTGCAAACGATCATATATGTTTGAATTATAAATTAAATAAACCATTAAAAGTTTGCAGTAGTAAACTCAACACCCAAGAGGAAAACAATTAGCCAGCTAGCAACTCCAGTAAAGTAAGCAAGAAAGTGCAATGCATGTGTGGCAATGCATGTGTGGCTCTATCAGCTCTATCACAATGCATGTGTAGCTTCCTAACTGGTGTAACTTACCAGTAGATGGGTATAGCTGGCTTTCGTGATTCTTATTGGCACTATTTCCGAGCTGGTCATGGGTGCACCTCAGCCACGCTCAAGGTCCTAAACGATATTATAAACGCGATAGATAAAAGACAGTACTGCGCAGCCGTCTTCATCGACCTGGCCAAGGCTTTCGACTCTGTCAACCACCGCATTCTTATTGGCAGACTAAATAGCCTTGGTTTCTCTAATGACTGCCTCGCCTGGTTCACCAACTACTTCTCAGATAGAGTTCAATGTGTCAAATCGGAGGGCCTGTTGTCTGGACCTCTGGCCGTCTCTATGGGCGTGCCACAGGGTTAAATTCTCGGGCTGACTCTATTCTCTGTGTATATCAATGATGTCGCTCTTGCTGCTGGTGACGCTCGGATCCACCTCTATGCGGACGACACCATTTTGTATACATCTGGCCCTTCATTGGACACTGTGTTAACAAACCTCCAAATGAGCTTCAATGCCATACAACACTCCTTCCGTAGCCTCCAACTGCTCTTAAACACTAGTAAAACTAAATGCATGCACTTCAACCGAACGCTGCTTGCACCCGCCCACCCGACTAGAATCACTACTCTCGGCGGGTCTGACCTAGAGTATGTGGACAACTACAAATACCTAGGTGTCTGGTTAGACTGTGAACTCTCCTTCCAGACTCACATTAAGCATCTCCAATCAAAAGTTAGAGCTAGAATCGGCTTTCTATTTCGCAACAAAGCCTCCTTCACTCATGCTGCCAAACATGCCTTCGTAAAACTGACTATCCTACCGATCCTTGACTTCGGCGATGTCATTTACAAAATATCCTCCAACACCCTACTCAGCAAATTGGATGTAGTCTATCACAGTGCCATCCATTTTGTCACCAAAGCCCCATATACTACCCACCATTGTGACCTGTACGCTCTTGTTGGCTGGCCCTCACTATATATTCGTCGCCAAACCCACTGGCTCCAGGTCATCTATAAATCACTGCTAGGCAAATCCCCGCCTTATCTTAGCTCACTGGTCACCATAGCAACACCCACCCGTAGTCTGCGCTCCAGCAGGTATATCTCACTGGTCATCCCCAAAGCCAACACCTCCTTTGGCCGCCATTCCTTCCAGTTCTCTGCTGCCAATGACTGGAACGAACTGCAAAAATCTCTGAAGCTGGAGACTCTTATCTCCCTCACTAACTTTAAGCGTCAGTTGTCAGAGCAGCTTACCGATCACTGCACCTGTACACAGCCTTTCTGAAATTAGCCCACCCAACTACCTCATCCCCATATTGTTATTTATTTTGCTAATTTGCACCCCAGTATCTCTATTTGCACATCATCTTTTGCACATCTATCATTCCAGTATTATACGTAATTAACTATTTTGCACTATGGCCTATTTATTGCCTTACCTCCATAACTTACTACATTTGCACACACTGTATATATATTTTCTGTTGTATTTTTTACTTTGTTTTGTTTACCCCATATGTAACTCTTTGTTGTTTTTATCACACTGCTTTGCTTTATCTTGGCCAGGTCGCAGTTGTAAATGAGAACTTGTTCTCAACTGGCTTACTTGGTTAAATAAAGGTGAAATAAAAAATAAAATAAAAAAAACTGTCCAGTTTCCAGCATGTTGGCACTAGTTGTACAGAGGAGTCTAAAACATGGTCCAACTAGCAAGTATTACACTAGGAAAATACTCCCTTGCTGAATCAAAATCGCCCACAATTACCGTTTCATTTAGAAGCTCAACCAACATCAAAGCAACTTTGTAACAGACATCAGCTGTCGCACAGACCGGCAGAAGGACTCACAGCTAGGAGCCAATATGAACCCCCCCCCCCCCCCCCCCCCCCCCCCCCCCCCCCCCCCCCCCCCAATTGGACCATTGGAAGACAATTCCATGGTATATTGATTGTATTTCCTTGCTAAAGTGTGGAAGAACGTATTTGAGTTATGTTGGCTCAGCTGTGATGAACTACATGAGAGTAGGACAGTCATGATTATCCCGTCCCGTTATAGTGATATTTCTCTGGCAATATTGGGCAGCCAGCTCAGGCTCAGTACTGCATTGTGACACTAGGCTCTGGCCCCATGGACAGCAGGCAAGAGTAATGAGACTGAACCTGTCATCTGCTGTGTCTGCAAAGACGCCTGCCCAAAGCTCCCCTTATGTGCTCATTTCACACCGGCAGAGCCCTGGTCTCCCGCTCAGGAAGTCTGTCTGTTATACCTCCTCTACTAGGTGATTTCAGGGTTGAATAGTTTTCTTACTGCCTCTTTGCGATTTGTTTTATAGCTTTCTGCATTTGCAAGGTGAAAAAGAAGACCTTTACAATGACAGCAGGTAAGGGTATAAAGATTCAACTTATATTTCACTTTCACCAAGTTTCTGAAGGTGGTGGTACTTTTTTATGACTTAGAGAAAAGTAACAGAAAAACTGCCAGACGCCATTGGAGTAGAACACGACAAGTAGATTAATATACATTTTTCTGCACCAGGACCAAAATCGACGAGATTCAACAGAGGAAGGAGGAGGAGTTGAAGTCAATGAATATTCGCATTCAGAAGTTACAGGGAGATCTACTGTCAGCCAACCAGGTCAGACATCCTGATGTTGCCTGTCCTGTTATGAGATAATACAAATAGAGGATTTGGTTTTGTACCTGGAGTACTCATATTGTTGTATTATGAGAATACATAGGCTATACATTTGTACCTGGGTTGCAGTAGGTATGCCATGGACCCAAAGCCTAAAATGATTGACAGAATCTAGTGGGAAGCTGAAGCTGACTCTTGCTGTTTTTTTCTAGAGTGTTGGTGAGATGAAGGAACAGCTCCAGAGCCGGGAGAAGGAGCATGAGTTAGTTCTACACACACTCAAAGATCAGGTAAACTCAAGCCTATAAACTATAATTTGCTATGCATAGTTTGTATATAGGTAATTTATGGAAGTAGAGTGATACTGTATATGGGGTGCCTTCGGAAAGTATTCAGACCCCTTGACTTTTTCCACATTTTGTTACGTTACAGCCTTATTCTAAAATGGATTAAATAAATAAAAAGCCTCAGCAATCTACACACAATACCCTATAATGACAAAGTGAAAACAGGTTTTTAGAAATGTTTGCTAATATATTGAAAATAAAAAAACAAATCTTATTTACATTAGTATTCAGACCCTTTGCTATGAGACTCGAAATTGAGCTCAGGTGCATCCTGTTTGCATTGATCATCCTTGAGATGTTTCTACAACTTGATTGGAGTCCACCTGTGGTAAATTCAATTGATTGGACATGATTTGGAAAGGCACACACCTGTCTATATAAGGTCCCACAGTTGACAGTGCATGTCAGAGCAAAAGCCAAGCCATGAGGTTGAAGGAATTGTCCGTAGAGCTCTGAGACAGGATTGTGTCAAGGCACAGATCTGGGGAAGGGTACCAAAACATTTCTGCAGCATTGAAGGTTCCCAAGAAAACAGTGGTCTCCATCAGTCTTAAATGGAAGAAGTTTGGAACCACCAAGACTCTTCCTAGAGCTGGCCGCCCAGCCAAACTGAGCAATCGGGGGAGAAGGGCCTTGGTCAGGGAGGTGACCAAGAACCCGATGATCACTCTGACAGAGCTCCAGAGTTCCTCTGTGTAGATGGGAGAACCTTACAGAAGGACAACCGTCTCTGCAGCACTCCACCAATCAGGCCTTTATGGTAGTGGCCAGATGGAAGCCACTCCTCAGTAAAAGGCACATGACAGCCCGCTCAGAGTTTGTCAAAAGGCACCTAAAGACTCTCAGACCATGAGAAACAAGAGTCTCTGGTGTGATTGAACTCTTTGGCCTGAATGCCATGTGTCACGTCTGGAGGAAACCTGGCACCATCCCTACGGTGAAGCACGGTGGTGGCAGCATCATGCTGTGGGGATGTTTTTCAGCAGCAGGGACTGGGAGAGTAGTCAGGATCGAGACACAGATGAACGGAGCAAAGTACAGAGATCCTTGATGAAAGCCTGCTCCAGAGCGCTCAGGGCCTCAGACTGGGGCAAAGGTTCACCTTCCAACAGGACAACGACCCTAAGCACACAGCCAAAACAATGAAGATCTGCAGAGAAGAATGACAATGAAGATCTGCAGAGAAGAATGGGACAAACTCCCCAAATACAGGTGTGCCAAGCTTGTAGCGACATACCCAAGAAAACTCGATGCTGTAATCGCTGCCAAAGGTGCTTCAACAAAGTACTGAGTAAAGGGTCTGAATACTTATGTAAATGTGATAATTTCGTTTTTATTTAATAAATTAGCAAACATTTCTAAAAACCTGTTTTTGCTTTGTCATTATGGGGTATTGTGTATAGATTTGATGAGGGGGAAAAACTAATTTAATCAATTTTAGGATAAGGCTGTAACGTAACAAAATGTGGAAAAAGTGAAGGGGTCTGAATACTTTCCGAAGGCACTGTAGGTAGTCCAAGTATAGTGTAGAGTTTTTTTCATTTGTATACACTGTGTACATGCACAGTTTCTGTAATATGGAAATATTTGTTTCAAAACAATCAAGGTACTGTCATCTGACATGCAAAACCTATTCAAATTTGCTTTAGACTTCAGGTACAGAGCAACATTTCAAGTGGAAGTAAAGAACTTTCTTGAACTATTTGCTTTCTTCCCTTCCTGTTGAAGTTCAAAAACGTTCAAATTATCTTAGAGTGAAGACAATTAATTGATGGTTAATGAAAAGGCAAAGTGAGGATAACCCTAAATAATTAGAGATTAGTCTGTGTCTGAAGAGGTTGTCTGGAGAGAGTGGTGCACTTCATTAGGGACCAGTCTGTTTTCCACTTAATAAGGCCTCCTAGCACGACTGGCACTTACGTCTTCTGTGATGTCGCAAGTCTTAATTAACTTGAACTCCGCTTTGGGTAGACGACAACAAGATAAGGCATTCAAGCCTGCTGTTACCTTGTCTTCTATTTCTCTTTTCAATATGGAAGTACATTTTATTTTTTGGGCAAGTCATGCAGACGTTTCTTTTCTGATCTGGCTTCTGTCACCGTTCTTTGTTGTTTCTTTTACATTGCCTAATTTATACTTATTTTTCAAATTTCTTTGCCATCAGGTTTTGTCTCACTGATCCTCTTCTGGTAATTTAACCCCGTCCTTTCTTCCTTCATTCTTCTTCTTTTATTGATGATCCATCCTCCCTACAAATCCAATCCCCGTTTTTCTCCTTTCTTTTTCTATCCCTATTCTTGAGCTGCCAATCGCCACCTTTTGTATTCTTCTCTTCACCTTGTACATGGTCTTTTTCCTCCCTCTCCCCTCCTTCCCTCCATGGCTGTCCTGGGTGGTGCCCCCTGTGTTACCCCGTGTGGCGCTGTGATACAGGTAGCTTGTCAGAGTGCAGTGAGTCAGGAGCAGGTGGAGAGTATCCTGACTGAGAACGATGCTCTCAGGACTAACCTAGCGGCTCTAGAACAGGTACAGCTCATCTTACTGCCCTGCCGCTTCCCCACGGAACCTCATCAATATTCATTTTGCTGCTGTCACCACTCACCAGCCATTAACCATGATGCATCACCAATATGACAAGTCATGCTAATGTGAATAAAGTCAGGGAGGTACAGAGATTTTTCACATAGTGACGAATGGTGTTCAGACACATGAATTGCTAGTATTTACAATAATACTGTTTGCCCTACAAAGGTTAATCGTAAATCGTCATTGTATGTCCAACTTCTGCTCACCTGCTTTTCTTGGCTCACTTTTTCCACGTCTACCTTACTGACCCATTTGATCCACTATCATGTTTCATTAAACAAAGTCCATCAATACCTGTATACAAAGTCTTCAGATGTTGGTCCATTGTGATGGTGAGTGTGTCCTGACTAGTGGGTGTTGTGTGTCCATTAGATTCAGACAGTGAAGACTCAGGAGATGAACCTTTTGCGTGACCAAAACACGGCTCTGAATGTGGAGCTGCAGCAGAGACGGACGGAGCAGGAGAGCTTTCTGGCACAGACAGATGACCTTAACTCTCAGCTACAGGTCTGTGTGGCCCTCACATTGTCCAAGTACATGCATACTTAGAGAACCTATATATCTCAAACAAATGTGGAGCACTGTCTATCACAAATAATGTAGGACTAGGTCATCTTAATTGGTAGGTCAGAAACCTTACTTTTATGGTTATTACTATGATATAGTGCTTATATTGTAGGTCGGGGAGGAAAAAGCTGGCGTTGCAAAAAATTTTTATACTCTTCTCTTTCTCCTGTGCGCCTCTCTGACGGATGTATCTGTAGGAGTCGAACCGTGCCAACAGCAGACTGTTGGAGCAGCTGACTGAAGTCGGCCAGGAGAAAGACGGGCTACAGCAAGAGCTGGAGGAGGCTAAAAAGGTTTCTGTGACACACACACACAGAGAGAGAGTGAACAGAGACACATGCAGGAGGCTTGTTCCTTCATCCCACTCTCAGAGCGCTGGTTATTAGAGCACAGTGACTATTGTTCTGTAATACACATGGCACTCTAATTATTGGCATTCTCCCAGGGAAGGTGGGAGTGCTGAGTTTACCTCCCTCAAGCTACACTCCTTCTGCCCACAGGATCACAGACCATAAATAGACATCACAGCTTCAATTAGCTTATGTGTTGTCTTAGACTTAGCATATCACAGAGTCCAATTTATATTATGATTAAATTATTTGTCTTACGGTTTGTCTTACGGTTTGTTTAAGTGAGATGTGAATGTTATTGGTCGTGTATCATCACAGTAAATGTCAGAGATACAGTGGGGGAAAAAAGTATTTAGTCATCCACCAATTGTGCAAGTTCTCCCACTTAAAAAGATGAGAGAGGCCTGTCATTTTCATCATAGGTACACGTCAACTATGACAGACAAAATGAGAAAAAAAATCCAGAAAATCACATTGTAGGATTTTTAATGAATTTATTTGCAAATTATGGTGGAAAATAAGTATTTGGTCACCTACAAACAAGCAAGATTTCTGGCTCTCACAGACCTGTAACTTCTTCTTTAAGAGGCTCCTCTGTCCTCCACTCGTTACCTGTATTAATGGCACCTGTTTGAACTTGTTATCAGTATAAAAGACACCTGTCCACAACCTCAAAACAGTCACACTCCAAACTCCACTATGGCCAAGACCAAAGAGCTGTCAAAGGACACCAGAAACAAAATTGTAGACCTGCACCAGGCTGGGAAGACTGAATCTGCAATAGATAAGCAGCTTGGTTTGAAGAAATCAGCTGTGGGAGCAATTATTAGGAAATGGAAGACATACATGACCACTGATAATCTCCCTCGATCTGGGGCTCCACGCAAGATCTCACCCCGTGGGGTCAAAATGATCACAAGAACGGTGAGCAAAAATCCCAGAACCACACGGGGGGGACCTAGTGAATGACCTGCAGAGAGCTGGGACCAAAGTAACAAAGCCTACCATCAGTAACACACTACGCCGCCAGGGACTCAAATCCTGCAGTGCCAGACGTGTCCCCCTGCTTAAGCCAGTACATGTCCAGGCCCGTCTGAAGTTTGCTAGAGTGCATTTGGATGATCCAGAAGTGGATTGGGAGAATGTCATATGGTCAGATGAAACCAAAATATAACTTTTTGGTAAAAACTCAACTCGTCGTGTTTGGAGGACAAAGAATGCTGAGTTGCATCCAAAGAACACCATACCTACTGTGAAGCATGGGGGTGGAAACATCATGCTTTGGGGCTGTTTTTCTGCAAAGGGACCAGGACGACTGATCCGTGTAAAGGAAAGAATGAATGGGGACCATGTATCGTGAGATTTTGAGTGAAAACCTCCTTCCATCAGCAAGGGCATTGAAGATGAAACGTGGCTGGGTCTTTCAGCATGACAATGATCCCAAACACACCGCCCGGGCAACGAAGGAGTGGCTTCGTAAGAAGCATTTCAAGGTCCTGGAGTGGCCTAGCCAGTCTCCAGATCTCAACCCCATAGAAAATCTTTGGAGGGAGTTGAAAGTCCGTGTTGCCCAGCGACAGCCCCAAAACATCACTGCTCTAGAGGAGATCTGCATGGGAATGGGCCAAAATACCAGCAACAGTGTGTGAAAACCTTGTGAAGACTTACAGAAAACGTTTGACCTGTGTCATTGCCAACAAGGGGTATATAACAAAGTATTGAGAAACTTTTGTTATTGACCAAATACTTATTTTCCACCATAATTTGCAAATAAATTCATAAAAAATCCTACAATGTGATGTTCTGGCATTTTTTTCTCTCATTTTGTCTGTCACAGTTGACGTGTACCTATGATGAAAATTACAGGCCTCTCATCTTTTTAAGTGGGAGAACTTGCACAATTGGTGGCTGACTAAATACTTTTTTCCCCCACTGTATGTAGTAACATCCAGAGATATCATCTCCCATTGTGTCCCTCCCCCTGCAGACAGCAGACAAGCGGAAGGCCATACTGGACGAGCTGGCCATCGAGATAATCACAGAGAAGTCGCGGCACAAGGAAGAGCTGAGCGACATGCGTCTGCAGCATGAGAAGGAGGTGCTGGGGGTGCGGGCCCGCTACGAGAAGGAGCTGAGAGGCCTCCACGAGGACAAGAACCGCACCGAGGAGGAGATCCGCTCACAGCTCCGAGACGAGAAGGTGGGGTGGGGGAACACGAGTCAGGGCCAATGAGAGGGAAAATAATTTGAGAAGGTACACTGCTTGTGTATTCATGGGACCTTTGCCCTATGACCTCTAGGCTCGCAACAAGGAGTTGGAGGGTCTGCAGCAGAGTGTAGAGGAGCTGCAGGCCCAGGTCCAGTCTATGGAGGGCACTAAGGGCTGGTTCGAACGCAGACTCAAAGAGGCTGAGGTACAGTACCAACTTCAGTTTCACATTGATTTATTCACTAGGATATTACAGTGCCATGCCTTGTAGTTATGCTGGGTTGTACCACTATACACTTTAAAGATTTTACATTAACATGAATAGATGCTATTGAAGATAAGCTTAAAGGGTGATCAATAGTGTCAGTTGAGTGGAGCTCTTCAATGCCTGGAGTAACCCCTGTCATAATAACACTGACCACTTGGTGGCCCTAGTGTTTCTTTCTTCTTTCTGCTCAGATGTTTTTGTTTTGTAGCATGATTAATATTTAGTTTTGCCTTTTAAAGAATGCTAAGAATAGATGTGTGCTGCTGATTAGGTGATGCCTTGTTCCAATGTTGTCCCTGTTGTTCCTTCCTGTGTTCAGGAGAGCATGGAGAAAAGCAGTCTGGAGCACCATGAGCAGATAGAGAAGCTGCAGAAGGAACATTCTCTCCAGCTGGAGGTAAACTCATTTGTTTTCCTTCTTCCCAGACAGACATGGTAGAGTGCTGTACACAGCAACACACTCTGACACTTTCATCTTGGCCCAGGGGAATACTGACTGGTATTGTGTATGGGCTCCCGAGTGGCACAGTGGTCTAAGGCACTACATCTCATTGCTAGAGGTGTCACTACGGACCCCCTGGTTCTATTCCAGGCTGTATCACAATCCGGCCGTGATTGGGAGTCCCATAGGGCGGCGCACAATTGACCCAGTGTCGTCCGGGTTTGGCCGGGGTAGGCCGTTATTGTAAATAAGAATTTGTTCTTAACTGACTTGCCTATTTAAATAAAGGGTCAACATAAAAAAAAAAATATATATATATTGTATGTAGGCTTTGTTCACTGCAGCATGCCCTGCGAGATGAAGGCAGGACTGAAATTGCTATTCTCATCGCCTGAGTACCTGATGTTTATTTAACTGTACATCTTCAGCAATTAAGTGTCATCTATTTTTAACTCTCGTTATTCAGCATATGGTGGCACTTAGGTTGCTAATAGGGTTGATAGGTTTGATGATCTGATTGTGTTTGTGGTCTGGTGTGTGTTTTTGGTGACATACCCCCAAATTGAACCCCCACTGTTTCAATAAAAATCCTGTTAGTACACTATATATACAAAAGTATGTGGACACCCCTTCAAATTAGTGGATTCAGCTATTTCAGCCACACCCGTTGCTGACAGGTGTATTAAATCGAGCACACAGCCATGCAATCTCCATAGACAAACATTGGCAGTAGAATGGCTTTACTGAAGAGCTTAGTGACTTTCAATGTGGCACCGTCATAGGATGCAATCTTTCCAACAAGTCAGTTCGTCAAATTTCTGCCCTGCTAGAGCTGCCCCGGTCAACTGTAAGTGCTGTTATGGTGAAGTGGAAACATCTAGGAGCAACAAAGGCTCAGCAGCGAAGTGGTAGGCCACACAAACTCACAGAACAGGACTGCCGAGTACTGTGAAGCACACAGCGCGTAAAAATTGTCTGTCCTCGGTTGCAACACTCACTAACGAGTTCCAAACTGCCTCAGGAAACAATGTCAGCACAACAACTGTTCGTCGGGAGCTACATGAAATGGGTTTCCATGGCCGAGCAGCCTCACACAAGCCTAAGATCACCTTGCGCAATGCCAAGCGTTGGCTGGAGTGGTGTAAAGCTCGCCGCCATTGGACTCTGGAGCAGTGGAAACACCGTTCTCTGGAGTGATGAATCACGCTTCACCATCTGGCAGTCCGACGGATGAATCTGGGTTTGGCGGGTGCCAGGAGAACACTACCTGCCCCAATGCATAGTGCCAACTGTAAAGTTTGGTGGAGGACGAATAATGGTCTGGGGCTGTTTTTCATGGTTCGGGCTAGGCTCCTTAGTTCCTTAGCTACAGCATATAATGATATTCTAGATGATTCTGCGCTTCCAACTTTGTGGCAACAGTTCGGGGAAGGCCCTTTCCTGTTTCAGCCTGACAATGCCCCTGTGCACAAAGGGAGTTCCATACAGAAATGGTTTGTCGAGATCGGTATGGAAGAACTGGCCTGCACAGAACCCTGACCTCAACCACACCGAACACCTTTGGGATTAATTGGAACGCCGACTGCGAACCAGGCCTAATTGCCCAACATCAATGCCTGACCTCACTAATGCTCTTGTGGCTGAATGGAAGCAAGTTCCCGCAGCAATGTTCCAACATTTAGTGGAAAGCCTTCCCAGAAGAGTGGAGGCTGTTATAGCAGCAAAGGGGGACCAACTCCATATTAATGGCCATGATTTTGGAATGAGACGTTTGACGAGCAGGTGTCCACATACTTTTGGTCATGTACTGTATCATGAAGTTAATTTCAAAAGGAACTGTTAAACATGGTCCAGCTGTTTATGTTAATCTTGTAATTACTGTAAGTGATTCCATTAGCATGGTGTGAATGGAACCCTAATTATGTTGAAACTGATTAAAATTGTGTTTTCCCTTAAACCCAGCAGATTCTAAGATTGTATATGGGAAAATAACAGAACTGAATACATATTCTGTGTTTCTCATTCAGGGAAAGGCATCTGATATAGATGGCGTGAAGCTGCAGTTGACGGAGGTAGAGAAAGAGAGGGATGTGCACAATGAAACCATTGGAAAACTGAAGCAGGTGAACTAACCCCCTTGTAATTAGCATAAACTACTATTAAACCCCCCCATAAATGTACACATTCCAGTATAAGCAGTATAATGAGCCTGTGTGGTCATCTAATGATTCTCATTAGAACCTCCATGATGTACTCTCCCTGTCGGTGTGGTATACAGGAGATTAAAGACACAGTGGATGGCCAGAGGATCCTGGAGAAGAAAGGTAGTTCAGCAGTAAGTGGAACACTTTGTCTTACCACTAACAGCTGAGCTGAGGGAAACTGATGAGTCAGACCCCTTCCATTTACTATGGAGAGGAAATGGAATGCTTACTTACAGGTGGCAGGTAGGCAGGCAGTGCACGCCGCTGCACCCACTCTGCTCTTTAGAAGTGGAATCGGGGCAGCCTTTTCAATATGCCAGTTTGACCCCTTGTAACCAATTATTCGATGCCTGCCTTGATGATAAGAATCTGCTTCTGCAGATAATTGCAAGCATATGGGCTAGCCTGAGGCGTAGGGGTCGCGAGGGCTTTGTAGCTCCTTTTTCCAGCCACCCTCTATCTAAATTGTTTTCTGGGTAGGATGGGTCATCTTATTTGATTGTTTTCTTTATCTTAATCTGATGCCTGTCTAAGATTACCCTTGCTTCTCCCTGAGTCACAGACTGTTGTCTCTGTATTGAAAACCACCCGTATACTGCAGTGTTTTTCAAAGGAAGTAGTGTACTCCTCTCATGGGCTTTGTAACATTGTTTGTAGCTGAAAGACTTGAAGAGGCAACTACAGCTGGAGAGGAAGAGAGCTGATAAACTACAGGAGCGGCTACAGGAGATCCTCACCAACACCAAGACCAGGACAGGTGAGAGGACATAGGAAAGCCAGGTTGACCTCCACACATTTCATGTAGTCAGGCAAACGTCTATATACTAGTACATGTTATATATTGGCGTATGAGGGAGGGAGATGGCTGACTGTGCTTGAAAGACATCCTCTCATGCACTGAACCATGATGTAACGTCTGTTAGCCTACATAATCAAAGACATGAAACATTGAGCACAGGTAAGAGAAGATGCAGAACACATATAAATAAGAGAGCAGATGAAAACTGTCATGTCACAGTGTGGTTTGTTACAAATTAGCTGAAACACAGACTTCTACACATCACAGACAGGAAATAATGAGGTAAAGAGGTGCTTTCTACACCAACATCATACATTGAAGAAGTGAAATATGTTTAGTAATGGCTTGGGACCAATGGCGTGATTGTTCGTTAGCTTCTTGAGACAATTATGTTTTAGTACTGGGCAAACACACAGTGGGGTCCGAAATTATTGACACCCTTGATAAAGATGAGCAATTACTATAAAACAAATAATTCTAATACCGAGCTATATTTTATGCACAAAAACAAATGGGTGACTCAAGCTTGTGACTCTACAAACTTGATGGATGCATTTGCAGTTTGTTTAGTGCGGCAGGTAGCTTAGCGGTTAAGAGCATTGGGGCAGTAACCGAAAGGTTGCTGATTTCGAATCCCGGAGCTGACTAAGTGAAAAATCTGTTGTTGAGCAAGGCACGCAACTGTAATTGCTCTTGTAAGTCACTTTGGATAAGTAGGTCTGCTAAAACCCCTAAAATGTTTCAGATTTTGTGATATATATACACACACATACACAGCTCAAAAAGATTAAGGGAACACTTAAACAACACAATGTAACTCCAAGTCATTCACACTTCTGTGAAATCAAACTGTTCACTTAGGAAGCAACACTGATTGACAATAAATGTCACATGCTGTTGTGCAAATGGAATAGACAACAGGTGGAAATTATAGGCAATTAGCAAGACACCCCCAATAAAGGAGTGGTTCTGCAGGTGGTGACCACAGACCACTTCTCAGTTCCTATGCTTCCTGGCTGATGTTTTGGTCACTTTTGAATGCTGGCGGTGCTTTCACTCTAGTGGTAGCATGAGACGGAGTCTACAACCCACACAAGTGGCTCAGGTAGTGCAGCTCATCCAGGATGGCACATCAATGCGAGCTGTGGCAAGAAGGTTTGCTGTGTCTGTCAGTGTAGTGTCCAGAGCATGGAGGCGCTACCAGGAGACAGGCCAGTACATCAGGAGATGTGGAGGAGGCCTTTGTGCAAGGAGGAGCACTGCCAGAGCCCTGCAAAATGACCTCCAGCAGGCCACAAATGTGCATGTGTCTGCTCAAACAGTCAGAAACAGACTCCATGAGGGTGGTATGAGGGCCCGACGTCCACAGGTGGGGGTTGTGCTTACAGCCCAACACCGTGCAGGACGTTTGGCATTTGCCAGAGAACACCAAGATTGGCAAATTCGCCACTGGCGCCCTGTGCTCTTTTACAGATGAAAGCAGGTTCACACTGAGCACATGTGACAGACGTGACAGAGTCTGGAGACGCTGTGGAGAACGTTCTGCTGCCTGCAACATCCTCCAGCATGACCGGTTTGGCGGTGGGTTAGTCATGGTGTGGGGTGGCATTTCTTTGGGGGGCCGCACAGCCCTCCATGTGCTCGCCAGAGGTAGCCTGACTGCCATTAGGTACCGAGATGAGATCCTCAGACCCCTTGTGAGACCATATGCTGGTGCGGTTGGCCCTGGGTTCCTCCTAATGCAAGACAATGCTAGACCTCATGTGGCTGGAGTGTGTCAGCAGTTCCTGCAAGAGGAAGGCATTGATGCTATGGACTGGCCCGCCCGTTCCCCAGACCTGAATCCAATTGAGCACATCTGGGACATCATGTCTCGCTCCATCCACCAAAGCCACGTTGCACCACAGACTGTCCAGGAGTTGGCGGATGCTTTAGTCCAGGTCTGGGAGGAGATCCCTCAGGAGACCATCCGCCACCTCATCAGGAGCATGCCCAGGCGTTGTAGGGAGGTCATACATGCACGTGGAGGCCACACACTACTGAGCCTCATTTTGACTTGTTTTAAGGACATTACATCAAGTTGGATCAGCCTGTAGTGTGGTTTTCCACTTCAATTTTGAGGGTGACTCCAAATCCAGACCTCCATGGGTTGATACATTTGATTTCCATTGATTTATTTGTGTGTGATTTTGTTGTCAGCACATTCAACTATGTAAAGAAAAAAGGATTTAATAAGATTATTTCATTCATTCAGATCTAGGATGGGTTATTTTAGTGTTCCCTTAATTTTTATATATATATATATATATATATATATATATATATATATATATAAAAATAGATAGATATTAAAAATAAATACATTAAATAATGTATTGTGTCATTTTAGTGACAAGCTTGATGTAGTCATTGCATGCTAGGAATATGGGAACAAATACTAAACTTTTAACTACTTTATTTATAAGAATATGTAGGGGTGTCTAATTTTGACCCCTACCTTTTTTGAGAGAAAAAAAAGTATTATTGTTAAACAAAATCTCTTTCTCTGAGCAATTGTATTAGTATAATATAATTTTCATGTGTTTTTTGCATACATTATAGCTCAGTATTTGAATTATTTATTTTATACAGTCATTATTGCTCATCTTTATCAAGGGTGTCAATAATTTCAGACCCCACTGTATATGAATGAACAGCTCATTGTTGAACCAATTAAATGTGATATCAAAATGGAGAGCATGGTTCATTTACTAAGCTAGTGAGGTTTAAATATTTACTTGCCAACTGGCAAGGTGTTTATCCCACACCCTACCCATTACCATGATGGCATCACATAGTCTGGCTAACACCAAACTCCAAGTCTTCCTGACACAGCTCTCATTCGCTGTGTGCTTGGCTAGGCACCACATGCTTCTGTCCTCAATTTAGCTCTTTACTTTACAAATCAAATTAACATGTGGCACCCAAAGATTATCACAGAAGAATTACCCTCTTACTGCCGTACCTGGATGTTTCTCAGTAATGTGTATGGCATCTTAAAAACATTTACTCCTGTGGGGACCCCCACCCCATACACACCATCAACAAAATGCAGACCTCTTTAATATTTTATGGTGCCCCCCCCCCCCCTCTTAAAATGTGCCACAGAGCAATGCATACTCTTATTTCCTGCCTGTAGGTTGTTGGTGATGCTAGGGCAATCCTCTTTTGGGCCATGTATAATTTACTAGGTGTCCTTAAATGTTTAATGGTTGCTCTACAGAAAGTAGAGAATCAGACATTTTAAAGTAGGGAACTTTATCTTTGTCCAGTGTCCAGAAGGGAAGTTAGTGCACATCAGCGGCAGCCTTACAGGTAGATACCTATATCCCTGCCAAGACAGGAAGTTCTTCCTACATTAGCCTTTAGGTTTCTATGGGGAATCAGTGCCTATGGACTGAGGTTTCCCTCTTTGCACAATGCAATCGCTCCTAACTTAATTACAGTGTTTGTTTCCCTATCAAAAACATATAATGGATGTTGTTAGTTGACAGTGTTCTGCAGTTATTGTTGGGATGATTGTAATGCAGCTTTTGGAAAAACTGCCAGACTTAAGAGGGTTGAGGTGGTGTGCCCTTGCTTTGATATGGCCTGAAAGGGAATATTATCCACTTCAAGAAAATGCCAAAAGGTGTTTGATGACGTTAGAACAGTAACTACTTTTTTCCCACTTAGAATCATTACTTCTGCTGTAATTCCTTAGCAAGACTGCTCGATTGAGTGTGTGTTTCCAGGCCTGGAGGAGCTGGTGTTGTCAGAGATCAGCTCTCCTAATCGTACGCAGCAGAGGGGAGATAGCAGCAGTGTCTCCTCCTTCAGCTATGGGGAGATCATGAAGGAGGGCGCCTCTGCACAGAGCACCAACAAGGTACACTACACCAGTCAGCACATAGCACCAACAAGGTACACTACACCAGTCAGCACAGACACCAACAAGGTACACTACACCAGTCAGCACAGACACCAACAAGGTTAGACAACACAGAGCACCAACAAGGTACACTACACCGCACTGAGCACCAACAAAGTACACTAAACTACACGAGTCAGCACAGAGCACCAACAAGATACAGTGAGGGGGAAAAAGTATTTGATCCCCTTTTAGCCAACTGACAAAGAAATGATCAGTCTATCATTTTAATGGTAGGCTTATTTGAACAGTGAGGGACAGAATAACAACAAAACAATCCAGAAAAACTCATGTCAAAAATGTTATAAATTGATTTGCATTTTAATGAGGGAAATAAGTATTTGACTTCTCTGCAAAACATGACTTAGTACTTGGTGGCAAAACCCTTGTTGGCAATCACAGAGGTCAGACGTTTCTTGTAGTTGGCCACCAGGTTTGCACACATCTCAGGAGGGATTTTGTTCCACTCCTCTTTGCAGATCTTCTCCAAGTCATTAAGGTTTCGAGGCTGACGTTTGGCAACTCGAACCTTCAGCTCCCTCCACAGATTTTCTATGGGATTAAGGTCTGGAGACTGGCTAGGCCACTCCAGGACCTTAATGTGCTTCTTCTTGAGCCACTCCTTTGTTGCCTTGGCTGTGTGTTTTGGGTCATTGTCATGCTGGAATACCCATCCACGACCCATTTTCAATGCCCTAGCTGAGGGAAGGAGGTTCTCACCCAAGATTTGACGGTACATGGCCCCGTCCATCGTCTCTTTGATGCAGTGAAGTTGTCCTGTCCCCTTAGCATAAAAACACCCCCAAAGCATAATGTTTCCACCTCCATGTTTGACGGTGGGGATGGTGTTCTTGGGGTCATATGCAGCATTCCTCCTCCTCCAAACACATTGAGTTGATGCCAAAGAGCTCCATTATGGTCTCATCTGACCACAACACTTTCACCCAGTTCTCCTCTGAATAATTCAGATGTTCATTGGCAAACTTCAGATGGGAATGTATATGTGCTTTCTTGAGCAGGGGGACCTTGCGGGCGCTGCAGGATTTCAGTCCTTCACGGCGTAGTGTGTTACCAATTGTTTTCTTGGTGACTATGGTCCCAGCTGCCATGAGATAATTGACAAGATCCTACCGTGCAGTTCTGGGCTGATTTCTCACCGTTCTCATAATCATTGCAACTCCACGAGGTGAGATCTTGCATGGAGCCCCAGGCCGAGGGAGATTGACAGGTGTTTTGTGTTTCTTCCATTTGCGAATAATCGCACCAACTGTGGTCACCTTCTCACCAAGCTTCTTGGCGATGGTCTTGTAGCCCATTCCAGCCTTGTGTAGGTCTACAATCTTGTCCCTGACATCCTTGGAGAGCTCTTTGGACTTGGCCATGGTGGAGCGTTTGGAATCTGATTGATTGCTTCTGTGGACAGGTGTCTTTTATAAAGGTAACAAGCTGAGATTAGGAGCACTCCCTTTAAGAGTGTGCTCCTAATCTCAGCTCGTTACCTGTATAAAAGACACCTGGGAGCCAGAAATCTTTCTGATTGAGATGGGGTCAAATACTTATTTCCCTCATTAAAATGCAAATCAATTTATAACATTGTTGACATGCGTTTTTCTGGATTTTGTTGTTATTCTGTCTCTTACTGTTCAAATAAACCTACCATTAAAATTATAGACTGATAATTTCTTTGTCAGTGGGCAAATGTACAAAATCAGCAGGGGATCAAATACTTTTTTTCCTCACTGTAGTAGTTGTACTGTGATACTTCTGGCATTGTTGAAAAGCTCAGATTTTCCTCTTTTCAGGGAAATTGCTGTTATTTACCCCCCCCCCCCCCCCCCCCACGGTTATGATGGGGAGATCATCTGAGCTATAAATTGTTTCGCCTATATTATTAATTTTGGCTAAAAAGGATGAAATGACTCAAATGTATTTTAAGACTAAAACTGGCCAAAGCACATACAATGTTTGTAAAAGCAATGGCATGCAGTGTTGACAAGATAGATGTTGGAGAGTAGAGATAATCAGAATCTGGATGTTGAATATACATTTTGTAGTCAATAGAACAGCATAATCCACATAAAATAAACATAAATCATTTGATGTAAGGAACCACAAAGAGAACCAATGAGGTCATCTGCATAAAAACATCACCTCTTGCATTGCGTTTGTAACTGCCAAGAGTACAAACTGTACATTCTGAGGCAGAGATGAGAGGCTGAACTTTCACCAACCACAGTTATGACAGGCAGCTCAACAGGGAGTTCACATGCGTTTCACTTTTATGTGCTGCTGTTAATAGCCTATAAATAGCGTGGATACTATTATTATAACCCTTTGAATAAACACATGTCCTGAATGTTTCTCTTTGCAAGGGAAGTGGATTGTTGAGGACAAGGAGTGGGAAAGACTGAGAACTCTCTAAAGAATTCAATTTAAAACATAATAATGTATTCCAGTTCTGTACTGAACAGACCTCCTGCCTAGGTTGTATACAGTGCAGATATTGTACAGATAAGCCTGTACAATTAGAGCTGTCAAGCTTAGAGCCAGTGATGCAGAGATAATGAATTCTATTACACAGAATGCACAAAATAGCTTCTCTCTCTGTCTGACTCTGTCTCTGAGTGAATGTTATGTAGGGAACAGAAGTTTAACAGTTGTCTGGTTCTCTGTGTCCCAAGTCCGCCAGCGGCAGCCCCCAGTCCCAGCGGCCTGCTGACCTGTCTGATGATGAGGTTGGGGAACTCTTCCTGAGGCTGGCTGAGGTGCAGCAAGAGAAGTGGATGTTGGAGGAGAAGGTAGAGTCATGCTATTCATACTTACAATACAACTGTATTGTCCATGTTTCTAGCGAACGATGGAAATGTGTCTTCTACTCCATTCTACAACGTTTTCAATTTGGTTATCATTTACTATAAACTGTATAATATCTTCTAACTATACTATACATGGGGCGGCAGGTAGCGGCAGATGGCCGTTCTGCACTTGAGCAAGGCAGTTAACCCCCAACAGCAACTGCTCCCCCAGCTTAATCGACGTTGGGTTAAATGAGGAAGACACATTTCGGTTGAATGCATTCAGTTGTGCAACTGACTAGGTTTTCCCTTTCCTTTCCCACTCCCCTAGCATATTTATTTGCACAGTGAAGCTACAATTTTTACATTTGTCTCTACTCCAGCATTTTGGATTTGAGAACACGTTTCATATGAGGCGACAGTACAGAATGTCACCTTTTTTATTTGAGAGTATTTTCATATCTGTTTTACCGTTTAGAAAAAGTATCTACTCCCCACCATTTTTTTTTTTTTAAGTATTCTTTCCTCCATTTAAATATTTGGACAAATTCACTTATAGTTTAGTATTTGGTCCCATATTTCTAGCAAGCAATGACTACATCAAGCTTATGACTACAAACTTGTTGGATGCAGTTTGTTTTGGTTGTGTTTCAGATTATTTTGTGCCCAATAGGAACTGAATGGTGAATAATGTATTGTCTTTAGGTGTATCTAATGTGTGTGTCTAATGTGCTGCAGGTGAAACACCTCGAGGTCAGCTGCTCCTCCATGGCTGATGACATCTGTAAGAAGAGTGCCATCATCGAGACCTATGTCATGGACAGCAGGATAGGTAACCTTCTGTCTCCTTGCCTTGTTGAACTGGTTTTCCCCTCTTTAGATGTGATACTTGTTTGTCACTAGACTCCTTTTTTCACTGACAGGAATATGTATGCCTGCATTGTAATTTGTCTATTGAACTGTTATGTACAGTATAAAGCCATCTAAGGTTTACTTGAAAATGTGATTATTCCGTCTGCTGAAATGTAGCCCAACTAGGGAGTTCAGAGTTCTTTCGCTGTTCGTGCAATTTATTTTAATTGTGAGTGTAAGGTTGACTGTTGAACCAAAAACAGAGAGCGCTCAAAGATGAGTTGACTGTCTATTATTCCAGTACATCTTGTTTCATGTCTTGAGGGTAAAACTATACTGAACAAAAATATAAACACAACATGTGATGTGTTGGTCCCATGTTTCATGAGCTGAAATAAAAGATCCCAGAAATTTTTGTTATGCACAAAAAGCTTATTTCTCTCAAGATCTGTGCACATATTTGTTTACATCCCTGTTAGTGAGCATTTTATATTTTTCTCAAGATATGCCACACCTGTCAGGTGGATGGATTATCAAGAAGCTGATTAAACAGCATGATCATTACACAGGTGCTGGGGACAATAAAAGGCCACTCTAAAATGTAGTTTTGTCACACAACACAATGTCACAGATGTCTCAAGTTTTGAGGGAGCATGTAATTGGCATGCTGACTGCAGAAATGTCCACCAGAGCTGTTGCCAGAATTTAATGTAAATTTTCCTACCATATGCCACTTCCAAAATCGTTTTTTTAGAATTTGGCAGTACGTCCTTACAACCGCAGACCACGTGTAACCACGCCAGCTCAGGACCTCCACATCCGGCTTCTTCACCTGCGGGATCGTCTGAGGGGGGTGCTGCTGAGGAGTATTTCTGTCTGTAATAAAGCCCTTTGTGGGGAAAAACTAATTCTGATTGGCTGGGCCTGGCTCCCCAGTGGGTGGGCCTATGCCCTCCCAGGCCAACCCATGGCTGCGCCCCTGCCCAGTCATGTGATATCCATAGGTTAGGCCCTAATGAATTTATTTCAATTGACTGATTTCTTTATATGAACTGTAACTCAGCAAAATCTGTTGCGTTTATATTTTTTGTTCAGTATAGAAACAGTATTTTACAGAAAAGAACCCATGCTAACAGCTTGCATAAATAGACACTGTCCCACTCCTTCACAGTAGAGAATTTTATTCAATTCTATTATTACATTTGAACCTGTCTTGCTTTTATAATCCACTCGTAAATATTTCACCGTTCCTATTTATAATAATTCTATTTTAAGTTTGCCACTATTGGAGCACTCAGATACACTTGAAACAGCACTTTGTTCAATCTAATAACTCCATGATTTGAGCTGTGGGCTCTGCTTAACATTTTATGAGTTTCTCTTTAAAGATCGGGGTGGTTTGGCTGGCTGTGTTTTTAAGATTACTCTGCACCCTGTTCTGCTGCTCTCCTCAACCAGATTAGCATATAATGTCCCCTTCACATTATCCTGCTTCTATGCTAATTCATGAGGCATGCCAGCTGTGGTGTTAAGACACAAGAACGTTTCAGAAACTCAAATCAAAATAGCAGATATTACAGATCCAAAATGTCAACTATAGCGACATTTCACGTTAAACCGATGTAGATGGGCTATGAAATGTTCCGTAAGCTTTGGAATGGAGACTGACACAGTTTCAGTACTTGGACTTGTCTGAAGTGCTCAGACTTGGGTCTCTGTCTGACTGCCTTCCTCGTGTGCATGCAGGCACTCAAGCTCAGTGATATCATCAGGTTTTCGTGATGGGGCCGTACTGCACTGCACTCAGAGGGCACCCTCAAGTGTATGCATTTAGGAAAGCACTAGTAAAGAATATTTGAAGTAGTTCACTCTCGAATAAAACACTTGTTAACCCTCATATGTCGTATTGGTCCTCTCCGGTAGGCTACGTTAAAGTGAATGTTTTCATCATTAGCGTTTTCTTTGTAGATGTTCTAAAACGCTACAGTGTTTAAAGCTTATAACACAGTGTGACATTTATGCTTAACTTTTAGCTCATCTTGAAGTATTCAAATACATTTTTTAATTTGTCTAATGCATCCTTTCCGTGCCTCCTCCTCTATAACCCAGTTAAATGAATCTGAGAGAAATGGGGAATTGGTTGTTTTGGAACTGGTGCGCTGTCGGTATGCATGAGGCCGCTGCATCTTTCATATTCCTTAAAAGTAAGCTAATCCACCGGCAATGGGGGAGGGATGTTCTGTGACTTCAGCAATACTGCAGTAGTCTAGTGCTTAAAAACTCCATAAAAAGAAAGGCTCAATCACAGCAGATAAAAGTTTGTCTTAAAGCAACTTGTCTTTCAATAGTGATTTTATTTGTTTGCATAAACGAAAGACGTTGCAAAAATAAATTTGAATACCTTGAATGTGAACAGGCTTAGAGCATAGCAAATTTTTCATTGGAGATAATGCAATGAAGTAGTGTAAAAACATGCCTATCTATGTTAACTTCGATTAGGCCTACTATAGAGGTTCTATGGTCCGTAGTGCTGTATTTCTGTCTCTGCGCTGAGTGGAGGTCCAGTGGACCTAATAAAGAAGTAATCTTCCAAAGGACCTCAACTCTTTCCACAGTGCTTGGCACACACTTCTTAACACAGGCTATGTCCTAAAACCCGTATTTGCGTTCTAAATAGTAGGCATTTTGGGTATGCGAAAATATTGTTTTATAGTATGACATGTAGTATGCTTTAAATGCCAGGATGTCATTCTCATTTCGGCTTTTCATCTAGTAAAATTTGCTGCACATGGCTACACTTAAGATAATAGTCTTTCCAGACCCACGTGTGTTTGCCAACAGCTGATATTCAAAGAAGGGGACAGGCTGTACCAAAAATTAACGAATGGCGGAATAAGGCATTGTCAGTATGAATGAGCCTAGTATGTCGTTATTAGTAAGTAGTAGGCAAGATAGATTTTTGGACTAGTGTTGCATGGTTTACTGAAACTTCTGTACTTTTTGAAATGTTACTTTTGGGATTTCTGTCAAATGTGTCTCACGTTGTCTACTGATTTGAGAGAGGATCAAGTCTATCAGCACAGCCGACGTCCCCTTATAGCGCGAGCTCATCGTGCCTGCTCCAAACTGCACTTACTCATTGCTAGCTCTAGCCTGTTCTGAGGAACCACTGCACTCACTGGGAGTCTGGGCTGTATCACCGCTTATGCTGAACAGAAGTTAACACACTTGAATAATGCAACACGGCATGTAGAAATGTTGAAACTGTTAATTACTGTTCGCAATGTACATTACAGGCTAGAACACTTTACAGTGCAAGAAGATACCGGTAGCATCCAGCTTTGTAGGCTAACTTTCCTTGCTAGCTTACTGCTGAAGCTGATATCAATGTATTTACCCTAGTACCTTATTTGTGATATAATGCAAAATATTGCTGATTTCAAAGCTGATTGTGACCAAAAACTGTATTAATTCACTTCGTCTCCACCGCCTCACGTCTCCCCCAGTCAAGATCATCTTTACTCGAACTGCAGAGGCGCAACATTAAATCAACTTTTATTGGTCACATATTTCGCAGATGTTATTGCGGGTGTAGCGAAATGCTTGTGTTCCTAGCAGTAGAATAGAATACAGTATATACATATAACATGAGTAAAGCAGTATGTAAACATTATTAAAGTGACTAGTGAGTAACCGGGTGGTAGCCAGCTAGTGATGGCTATTTAACAGTCTGATGGCCTTGAGATAGAAGCTGTTTTTCAGTCTCTCGGTCCCAGCTTTGATGCACCTGTACTGACTGGGGTGAACAGGCCGTTGCTCGGGTGGTTGATTTCCTTGGTGATCTTTTTGGGCTTTCTGTGACATCAGGTGCTGTAGGTGTCCTGGAGGGCAGGCAGTGTGCCCCTGGTGATGCGTTGGGCAGACCGCACCACCCTCTGGAGAGTCCTGCGGTTGCGGGCGGTGCAGTTGCTGTACCAGGCGGTGATACAGCCTGACAGGATGCTCTCAATTGTGCATCTGTAAAAGTTTGTGGGTCTTGGGGGCCAAACCGAATTTCTTCAGCCTCCTGTTGCGCTGCGTTCACCACACGGTCTGTGTGGGTGGACCATGTCAGATTGTCAGTGATGTGTACGCCGAGGAACTTGAAGCTTTTCACCTTCACTAGACACATTGTGGATAGGGGTGTGCTCCCTCTTCTGTTTCCTGAAGCCCACAATCAGCTCCTTCGTTTTGTTGACGTTGAGGGAGAGGTTATTTTCCTGGCACCACTCAGCCAGGGCCCTCACCTCCTCCCTGTAGACTGTCTCGTCATTGTTGGTAATCAGGCCTACTACTGTTGTCGTCTGCAAACTTGATGATTGAGTTGGAGGCGTGCGTGGCCATGCCGTCTTGGGTGAACAGAGAGTACGGGGGGGACTGAACATGCACCCTTGTTGGGCCCCTATGTTGAGGATCAGCGAAGTGGATGTGTTGTTTCCTACCTTCACCACCTAGGGGTGGCCCGTCAGGAAGTCCAGGACCCAGTTGCACAGGGCGAGGTTCAGACCCAGGTCCCCAAGCTTAATGATGAGCTTGGAGGGTACTATGGTGTTGAAGGCTGAGCTATAGTCAATGAACAGCATTCTTACATAGGTATTCCTCTTGTCCAGATGGGATAGGGCAATGCGATGGCAATTGCATCGTCTGTGGATCTATTGGGGCGATAAGCAAATTGAAGTGGGTCTAGGGTATCATGTAAGGTAGAGGTGACATCGCAAGTCTTCCAGGAACGCTTTCGAAACCGACCAGGCCGGGGTTTGGGCTTTGAGAAGTGATGATAATTTTTTCCTTGGTTGTTAATTTCCGCGAAATCTAAAGGCACAACCTAGATTCGAGCCAATGTCTTAAGTAGTTGAACATGTTATTACTTCAACCTCGTGAAAGTGAGAAAATACTTTATATCGTCAAACAACTTTATATCGATTGAGTGCCTTTTAACGGTCTGCACATTCGCAGTTCGGCGAGAGACAACCGTTAGACCCGATATGTTT